TATTACTTATTCTGAACCTTCTCTGCAAATTTGGCCGGTTATTGCAAAATAACCCTATATATCGGTCGACAAACTATGTATTAAATACCGCTGCAGTAGGATGTCACTTCACAGAACATCTAATATCGAATTCGAAGAAATAATAATAACTTAAAATATCTGTGATATACTGATTCCAATTTCGTACGAAACATGAGCGCGTGAAATAATGAAAAATATATTATATTTGAGTTAAATAGATGTACATACTATGACCCTTCGTTGTTGGATATACTCGTTTCAGACAATCATATTAAGTAATACATATTAACATACTTAGATATCAACGTTATGTATAAATCCAAACAAATGAAGATTGAAGTAATCGGAAATCTTTGAAAAAGAGTAAAAGTCTCGTATCACCGTGTATCACTGCGTATTGATTTCTGTAATAATGACGTAGGTATCAACTGATACATAGAAATTGAAATATATAGATTCAATATCTGATATTCAAATGCAATGCATATACGATTTGATATAATGTAGGAATGAAATTACCCATGCCTCCTCAACCTGCGAATAATTATAAGCCACTTTTGTAATAAGACGCCGTTATTTATTATGTCAATAAATTCGCCGCAATTCTATTTTCAACTTAATTATGTATACAAGTACATAGTAACGTACTAAATAAGGTGAAGATTCTCTTTCTAGATAACAGTCAACGTCGATGCGATGCAATACATTTATACGTAGTAGAGCCATGCTGCAGGTATGTATTCCCACTCGTGGTAAAATTATAATATATGGCTCTACTACGTAAAAAAAAATTCTGGACTTCAAAAATGCTTTGTAAAGGATAACTAAAAAACTTGCCTTGTTTTTGTTAAAAAAACTTTACCCCCACATTAGGATTTTCTCCTTTATCGTCGAAGCAGTTTACAAACACAAATTGCACAAGGACAAACATCCAGACCCGGAACAATTATTTGTAGGCCATACAATTACTTGTTCCGTGCGGGATTCAAACCCGCATCCCCCAGCGCAGCAAGTCATTGCTAAGCTACTACGCCACGGAGCCGTCAAACTTGAATAATTTAGTAGTGTTTAATGTTATCTATTTTTAAGAATATATCAGTACTATCGTTTATAGCTCATAACAAGTCCACTCGCAGTACATAGTAACCTAGTTGCTAATAACGGGCAGCTAAGTTTTTCTTGACCTAAAGTTTCATCAACATCTAGATCATCGAAAAAAGTTAACCGAGTAGAAAGTTAAAGGTATAGCTTCGAGATCTGCTCACGGCGTCGTGTTTGATAAGAATCAAAGAGGACGTACGAGAATAAATTTTCAGATATGCAATGTTGAAAAAGTGGAAATTCATGGACTAACATTGACTAAAGGGTATTGAACCTTACTAAGTAAAAAATGTCTGTAAACATGGTCAAGACCGTCCCCGCCATTACATTAGATTTGATAGACTACAAATCCTCGCAAAAGAACAGCGGTTCCTACTAAGAATGATACGCGAGGCTACTGAAAATAAAAAAAACATCCTTATTTCAATAGAGAACATGGATGGGTGTTGCCATCTGCCTGGGGTCCTATAATTAACAAAATTATATCCAAACCCAAGTATACCACTGCAAGACTTCAAGATACTGTCGTTCTGCGTAGATTGGACGAAACATTAACACTGTCACTGTCTGAATAAGACAATAGCAATGACCTATAATATGTAGTGCACGGGGCAGCGAAAGGGTTAATATTCAAAACCTGAAGGTAGCCGGGTTAACAATGACATCAGGACGTTAAACATCTCTTTCCGAGATGTTTGACGTCCGGGCGAGACGTCGGGAATCAAAAAGTTTAGATTAAATGCGATAAAATCCATAAAATTAATTCATTTTAAAGCTATCACCTTACATTGGCGGCTCCGTGGCGCAGTGGCTTAGCAATGAGTCATCACGCTAAGGGCCGCGTGTTCGAATCCCGCACGGAACAAGTATTTGTATGGCCTACAAATAATTGTTCCGGGTCTGAATGTTTGTCAATGGATGTGTGGTAAATAAAATAATGACTTTCAATAAGTATTATGTAATAATCCATATTGAATACAAATCATTCTATTCTATCCATTCTATTCTGTCCTTGTGAAATTTATGTATGTAAACTGCCCCCACAATACAGGAGAAAATCCTAGTGTGGAGGTAACGTTTAATTAAAAAGACAAATTTAAAAAAAATACTAATACAACGAAGCCGTACCAAGCTTTACGTAATGAATGTATGAATTAATTAATTAATGAAATATACTTCATCGAACACCGATAAATAAGAGAAGAAAAAAAACATTTTAAAAAGGTACAATTGCGGCCTTATCGCTTATAAACGATCTCTACCACGTAACCAACATTGATCAAAATAACATTGCAGAGGAGATACATATTAAAAAAAAACGTATAAATAATCTCATACAGAGTACAAATTTGTATTGTGTGCCAGATTATCTCGAACGGCATTCAGCAATTGACTGTTCACAGGCAAATATTGAAATACGATCGTTTTATCGATGGACAGATAATCTGCTTTTGGATATGAATGGTAATGTAAACAATCCTTGTCATAGCAATTGTCAATCAACTCGATAACAGTACAAGAATTTGATCATACCTTAATGCATAATGAATGTTAATTGTGTGAAATGTTATGTTTTATCTTTTTTTTATTTTCTTTTTAAATGTCATCTTTTCCCGGTGAATACCGGCCAGTACAATAATGTCATAGTAAATACAAAGGTACACACTTACTGTTTCTATCTAACTATATCTAATCGACGTGTATCATAGCGCTTATGTAAAAAAAATCGGAAGTAGGCTCAGCAGTAGTGTCAGATAAACAGGGACAATTTCAATGGAAACTAGATTCGAACCAAAGATTCACGACACAGTTGCCAGGCATTTCCACCTCTGAGTTTCTCGTAATGGACAATCAAACATTTAGGTAAAGTATAAAAATAAATTGACAGCATTTCTCAGAGGGGTTTGGATCAAAAAGAACCACCTTGCTGTGTGCTGGCGGGCTTCAAAGGAACTCAATATATTTCATATTTTGAAACACATTTTAAAACGTGGTAAAGCAACACTGTAACTAGGTATAACTATGGCTGTAGCACGAATGGGTTGGCTTTACCGGGGTAGAACCACACACAGAATGCCAGTGTAAAATATCAGCTTAATGCTGCGGTGTTCCGTATGGTGAGTGTAGAAAACTGGAGATCCTTTTTACTGAAAATGAGGTATTCCATCTTAGTCCTCACAGGTGACAACTCATCCGTATTTTGATTCTCAATCGAGGGTAAAAGGCCCACAGCATCCACTTACCATCAGGTCGACTGTATGCTCGTTTGATAGCCTTATATTATAAAATAAATAAACTAATATGTAGACATATATAGATTTCCTCGCAAATTTATCATCACTTATTATTTGAGATTATGTAGTGGTGAAGGAAATTTAAAATTGCGATTGACAATTCTAGTAGTACCGACGGATATCCGAAAAATTTCACTACAGTTGACAACTTGGCTTCGAACACTGGCAACTCGTATTGAATAGAATAGAATAATTTTTATTCAATGTGGGTTATTACTTATTATTTATTGAAAATAGTTTTTTCTTATTCACCACTGGTTCAGAAAATACCTCTGTCCTGGGAAGGAGTAAGAAAAAATCCAGCGGGATATATATTTTTTTAAACATGTCTAACTTTACAATAATTTCGTACATATTTTAATAAAAAAAATTTAATATAAACAGCGATCTCAGGGGCTATTTTCATTCGTGTTTGATTGAGAACAATAAAATTTGAGGCGAGGTGCGGGCGCCTCTTAGCTACACTGGCTATCAAAATAATTTGAATGTAAGCTGGAACGAAAATGTAAACTTCAAGTGCAGTGTACAAAACACAGACGATAATTTAAAATTAAAAATGTTGTTCAGCCGATTTTAATATAAGTTATTAAGAATAACTCAAAAACTATTAGTCTGACCTTGATCAAATTATACATATGGGACCACACGAGAAGTACCAGCTTTCAAATAAAAAAAAGAATCATCGAAATCAGTTCACCCAGTAAAAAGTTATGAGGTAACACATAAAAAAAAAACAGTCGAATTGAGTACCGTCTCCTTTTTGGAAGTCGGCAGAAAATCGCAATACATAAGATTTCATAATTGTTTTTGAAAACTGGATGAATAATATTTGTCAAAGTTACAACAAGTAGTGTGGACAGTACACAGAAGACAATTTTGGCTACATTACAAATATTTTCTAATCATCTGCTAAGTGGTGAGGAAAATATTTATGTTGAAATATATACGGCTCCTTGGTACAGTGACTTATAGGTTGCGGCTACGAGGGCCGCGGGCTCGAATCACTCACGAAAAAAGTGTTTGTATGGTCTAAACATAATTGTTTCGGGTCTAGATGTCTTTGTGCAATTTACGTATGTCAACTGCCGCCACGAAACAGGAGAAAATCTTAATGTGGGGTATGGTTATTTTTTAAAAGCAATATAAAAAACAGTTGTGAGAAAGTAATTTATAGCATGCTGCCTTACACTTTAACAGGGCGACGGTCTAGTTTTCTGCCGACTTCCAAACAGGAGACGGTACTCAATTCGACTGTATGTTTTTTTTATGTGTGTTACCTCATAACTTTTTACTGGGTGAACCGATTTCGATGATTCTTTTTTTATATGAAAGCTGATACTTCTCTTGTGGTCCCGTATGAATTTAATCAAGGTCAGACCAATATTTTTTGAGTTATTCTTAATAACTTATATTGAAGTCGGCCGTACAAAATTTTTAATTTTAATTATATTATTACTCTACACCTTATCAAAAATAAAGATCTTGCCCAATAATGAGCATTTTTTGGTCGTTTAACGAAAATGAGACGTTTTATCTTTCCTTTTATAATACATTTTTATTAAATTTTGATAAAACTATTCTTACCTTTCTCATATTCAACGTCCTCGACTTGTTTTTCTTCTTTCTTGTCTGTTGATAAAGGCAGGGCATCAGTCACTTGATTAGCGTTTTGGGACACAACTGATTCACTTAGAGTTGTATCAGCGGCAGAAGGTACAGTGTCTCCCGCTGTCGGCTCTGTATCGTATGATGTTATATCTGTAGTGATTGTCGTGTGTGTGGGATGACTACGATATTTGTTTTGGACCGTTCCAATTTCTAAAGAATATGGTTCTGGTGTGGTGGTTTTAATCTTATACCGACGCCTATTTGTCCTCTTTTTCGGAAAGAAAAGAGTAGGTTCACCTTCTTTGGAGTCATTATCTTCAGGCACTAAAGATATTCTTACATGTTTTTCTTCTTTTGGATTAAATTCAATATTATACTTAGAGGAGAATTTTTTAGAACCTTTATTTTTAGAAGTCTTATCTCGTTTTGGGTTAATAGTTGTAGTGGTTTCTTCGCTATCTTCATATTCATTTGAAATGTATGCATCTGGGTTTTTAAACACAGAAAGTTTTTCAGGTGTTCCAGAAACTTTCGCTGCTTTAAAATTTTCTTGCGACTGTGTTGTTGAATGATGCGGTTGTTTAGCAATGGTTTTGTATTTATTTTTCACATCAAATACTGTCTCATCATACTCATCATAATCTGGAGTAACTTTTTTCCATTTAGACACTTTGTTGCTATATTTGTCGTATTCTTGTCGTGGATGTCGTAAATATTCTCTATCTCGTTCTTCTTCATACATTTCTTCTTCTTTAACTTTTTCCGATATCCGTCTTTGTTCTTCTGCGTGTCGTTCTTTCAACTCATCCACACTGTGTAGTATTTTTGCTTTTCTGGCCTCTTCTTCTTTTTGCTCCGCTATACTTTTCTCTGACTTCTCTTTTTCTGTGACATCTTCATCATATTCGATGTCATCTTTATCTTTATGTGATCCCTTATTTAATACCTTGGTATCACTATTGATAACATCTTTTCCGCTTTGTACTTCTTCTGTTTCTTCCTCTTTGCCGTTGTTTTCACGTTCTTTACTTTCTTTATTCAATTTCTCCTCATTTTTAAGGGGTTTTATTTTTTGTTTAGATTTTGTTAAAATATTTACTATCTCGCTAATCCCTGCAATCGTTGCAGGATCTGATTTCTGTGAATTGATACTGTCAAGCTCAGGAATAGCAGACCATTCCTTTTTTTCAAAATAATCTTCACCGAAAATTTCTTCTTGTCTCTTGTCAACGTATTCTTCACCTTCTTGATCCACTAGTGCTTTTAAAACAAAATTAGCAGGAGGAGCCAACCTTTTTTTTGGTTTTCTTTTCGCTACTTCCACAAACTCACCCAGTTCGTCGCCTTGTTTGTTCTTAAATGGAACCCAATCCGGATAAAAATCTCCTGTGGTCTCACTTTCAGTCACATTTTGGTTTTCACTTGCAGAGCCAATGCTCATAGAAGAGGATTCCATAAAAAACAAAAGAAGAAGGTATGTAGTTATCATCTTTGTGCAAAAAGAACCAGTTGAATTCCTCATAATGATATCATTATTTAATAAACACTCACTAAGAGGTGGTACCAACGCGGCTTCGCGATGCAGACTGTTTTCATTCGTTTAACTACTATTATTTATATTGTTTGTAACGCGGATCTCTCTGGCAACGATGATCGAAAGAAAGAATGGATTTAGTTATTTGTATAATTTACAATTATTCGACTCATTTATATTATCTTAATTAAAATATGTGAAAACTATTCGAAAACAAACACTCTTTTTATGTAATAATATGTCATTATTATTTTATAACATCATGAGTAGCAGCAGTCCGTGACTGCACTTGGTCAATGTGTCTTTTCTTCCAATTGGAACGATTCGAGATTATTAAACACGGTGGATTGGAGATAGTAGTGGTTACCAACTTAGATTCGTTTTTCGAAACTAATTTGATTACATCCGGTCTAACCCTAGCAAAATAAATGTCATTTATATCCTTAAATATGATTATTTATTATATTTTATATTTATTTCATTGGGTACATCCATAGTAGATCTATTATGATACAAAATTTAATTCCTTTAGATATTCTTAAAATATTTGATATTAAAAATATTTTTACGTGGTAGAGCCATGCTGCAGCTATATTTCGGGTATAATTGTAGCACGAATGGGTCGGTTTGAGCGGGGAAGGACCACTCTCTCACAGAATACCAGCGTAAAATAGCAGCTTAATGCTGCTGTGTTTCGTATGGTGAGTGTAGAGAACCGGAGAGATTTTGATTCGTAAACGAGGATAGATGTAGATGTCTATGGGTCACAGCAATCACTTACTATCAGGTGGACTGTGTGCTCGTTTGTCACCCTATCCTTTAAAAAAATCATTGTCAACCAATATACATAATATGAAACATAATTATGTTACTTTAAACGAAGAATCTCAAAAATTTAATCCAAAGAATATTGTATTATCCCCAACATATTGTTTTGAATTTGTTATAAATTTACTTCACATATTGTTTTTGTGGCTAAAATATTATTTAAAAGGGTCACGTGCCTTAAATTTAACAATCATTTTAACTTTATTTTGTAAACCGTGTATTTTTTATAATATTAAGTATATTCAATGTTATAACACAAGGGTTGAAAAATGAGCACAAACACTTAATGATGGCAAGTGGATACATTTACTCATAGATATTTATAATTGATCGTTAGCCAAAATTAAAGACATTGACAAAATTGAGAACTTAGATAAACCAGTCTTACAAGTCAGGTCTTCGTTCTTCATATAGGTTGATAATGCCATTTGAAACTGGCTTTCTCGATCGAATATCGACCATTCGTACTGCAGTGTAGCTTTACCACTCGAGTTGACTCCCACAAACCTACGCCGAATGTACAATGATAATCATAGGGCAATAGTGGTAAAGGATAATTACAAGTAATAAAAAAAATAATAAAAATAAAAAATCGACTTCAAAGAACTGAAAGTAATAAATCTAGTCAATAAGAAAATAGTCATCAAATCAGGTCCACAGTTGACAAACATATCGCGTAAAGTACATACAAGAACCTCTATTATCACCTCTATTAATGGAACCCTCCGTAAATCAGACAGATATTTATTTATACCTGGATATCTGAGACACTGGGTAAGTGGAATACCTCTTTAAGTGAGACAAATTTGCTGGTCACTTAAGGTCCCAGTTATCCAGGTTCACTGTATTAGCTCATCAACAGGGCGTCTGCTTACTAAATAGATTGACAAAATGCCAGTCAATAGATGCGTAGGTGTATTTAATAGGAGTAAGTCTTAAGTTTGCAGCAGGTTTTAGGGAAAACGCATTTTACACTTTCATCATAATGTAATGTCTTTATTACTTTATCAAGTAATTAAAATATTTTACTTATTTTTTTCTAACATAAAGTTATCCTCACAGTGGGATTTTATCATGCATTATGGAAGCAATTTACATATAGAAATTGTAAAAAGACTAACGTTTAGACCCTGAAAAATTATTTGTAGACCCTACAAATATTTGTTCCGTGTGGGATTCAAATCTGAATTTCATTTCTCTGCTTATTATATTGGAATACATTTATTTGCTTATTATATTTATGTAATTATATTTCATATAATGACTAAAACTATAGTAAAATATGTTAAAAGATTTAATATATAATTTTAATTAAAAACAACTTCATGAAATTGTAGTCTTATCCACATTATTCTTTTGATACTTTCTGGGAACACCTTGCAATGTACAAAATGGAATAGCAGCGTAACCGTAACGGCGTAATGAAATGTAACTAAACGCTTCATTTACAAATGGAAACAGAGATCCCGTTATAAAGTTACGTAATTTTAAAAATGATCGCTATATTGTATAGAAAAAAAAATATAGTTGCGTAAGTTCAAATTATTGAAAAAAAAAAAAAGAAATAAAGGGTTTATCTGTATTGAAAAATTAATTGATATACATGTCGTTACATCGCTTTCTAAATTAAATAAGAAGAATGTCAACAGCCTGTTTTCCACTTCTCAAGAATCTCTTCCTTCTTTTCAATAGCAACTCACCGAATATTATGATTTCTTATATTTACGCAAAGGCAACACATTAAATGAAACTAATTTTTTCGGATTTTAACGTATTCAATTTAACATTTTAATTCCCGACGTTTCGGGTGCTTTACAGCACCCATGGTCACGGGGGGATTGAGGTGTTTGACATTCCGATGTCATAGTAAGCCCGGCTAGCTTCAGTTTTTGAATATAAATTTGTGGTTCGATCTACGCAGAATGAGCTTACAGTATCTTGAAGTCTTTCAGTAGTATGCTTGGGTTTGGATTTAATTTTATTAATTATAGGATCCCAAGCAGATGGCAGCACCCATCCATCTTCTCTATTGAAATATAATGTTTTTTAATTTCAATAGCCTCGTGAATCATCCTTGGTAGGAATCGGTATTTTTTTGCGAGATTTTGTGGTCTATCAAATCTAATGTAATGACGGGGACGATCTTGAACATGTTCACACACTGCAGACTTCCCGGAACGTCGATGTTTCAAGTCAGCTATATGTTCATTCACGCGGGTTTTGATAGATATTTTTGTTTGTCCTAGGTTGTATAACTAAGTTGCAAGTATCAGCTAGTGTTATAATAATAATAATAGTCCTATATACGCCCACATAACTTCTTGTTTATGGAAGTGAAGGAAAACGAGCATGCGACTCACTTGATGGTAAGTGATCAACGTTGCCGATGGACATCTGCAACTACCGGGGGAATTGCGGGTGCGTTGCAAATTTAGAATGAAGAAGACTCTTTTCTTAAAGGTTTCTAAGTTATTAAGGTCCAGAAACAGCTGACGAATGTAAATTTCACATTGTGGTCGTCCGAAACAGAAAATTGCCCGTAAATCGCACGGTAGTCGTCTGCCAACCATCGAGACGATAAGGATGGAATTATGAGTCATATTGCACAATGATGTAATTCAGCAGCTCGAATTAATCCGAACAATTCCTCTGAGCACTCCTGTGGTACATGTGACAGAAGATGCACAGAGATGCAAAACCTTTTTGCAAAGCCAACGTATTAAGTTGAGATTTTACATCATTCTCATTCCTGCATTTTAATTTTTTTTATAGGATGATAGTAACAAGCGAGTACACATTCCACCTGATTTTAAGTGGTGGCTATTGCCCATAGACATTTATCTACGTTTGCGAATCAAAATGCAGATGTCAGCCTTGAAAACTAAGATGAAATACCTCTTTTCCAGTAAAGAGGGGCTCCGGTTCTCTAAAATTATATATAAATGTCTGTGGGCAACGTCCATTTGCCATCAGGTGAACCGTGTGCTCATTTATCACCCTTATTCTATAAAAAATTATTACCAACAGGTGAACTGTGTAATCTTTTGTCTTATATTTCTTCTTTAATTCATTTCTCATAGCCGCCTCCTTGTCATCCACGGGAATAAATGTGGTGCTTGATTTTCTTGTACCACTATTTCACGGCAATGCGATCATTTCACTGTATTTCAGAGCAAGCAATAATAAACATCGATTTGTTTGTGGGTTGCCGGTGTCGAAACAAAACTGCAAGCGATACAATTATTTCAGCTTCAATTGGTTATTGTTCTGATTCCTAGCGCTGTTTGCAAAAGATGCTGTTGAAGACATTGAGTTATATGTACTACATACTAGAGAAGCCATTCCGAACATTGACTATGTTCAACTGAACTGTAGTGCAATCCATACAAACTAAATATTGCGTAAATTGAAGATTTGTGAATTCCATAAAATAATTATTATTACTTTTTATTTAGAAATATGTTTGTTTAGATTAAATTAAGGTATTTTATATTAAATTCTTTTATTTATTTTATATTAATATCTTATTTTATATTAAAAGTCTTTGCGCATGCGCGGCTACTACTCCCGCGCATGCGCGAAGACATTGAGTAGGACACAATTTTTGTTTGGAATGGCTTCTCTAGTACATAGTACATATAACTCAATGGTTGAAGAATGTTCACTATTCTCCTGACAACTTACTGTGCTGTTGCCACTTAAATAAATGAACGTCAGTAAAAGGTTTTCTATCGTCTGTCTTAAAAATACCTATGTAATATTTCTGGAATATAACTTTTAATTAATATTATATATAAATTTCTTTTAATAAATATACTTATCCTGATGATTTTTTTAACTCATGGTTTATAAAAAATATTTTGTCTCAGGTAAAACTTTTTACTGGAAACGAGGCATTTTATCTTAGTCCTCAGGGGTGAAAACGCATCTACGTTTTAATTCCTAATCGAGGAAACATGTAGATCGTTATAACCCAGAGCGTTCACTGTGTACTAGTTTATTACCCTTACTCCATGAAAAATAAGGATGTCAAACGACCACATAGTCCACCTGATGGTAAGTAGATGTTATGGTTCATATATTACCTACATTCCTCAATTTAGAAATAAAACAAAGATGAGTCATCT